CGGGTGGGCCTGATAGGATTGGGTAGAGGGGTCCGGCTAAGAGTGACATGAGGTCCAGTTTGGGGTGGCATGAGGGGTGGGGTACGGGATATGAGGGACGGGCACGGGGTGCGGGTGCGGAGAAGCCGAGATTGGCCGCAGGTGGAGGGCGACGGAATTGGCCGCAGGTGGAGAGCGATGGGATTGGGTGCCGGTGGAGGGCGGCGGGAACAGGGTTCGGGTGGAAGATGGCGGGTTAGGGTGCGGGTGGAGGGTGACGAGAGAGAGAGCGCTTGGGGGGCGGTGGAGCAGAGTGTGAGAGGAGGGCCGCGGGATTGGCTGCAGGTGAGGGGCCGCGGGACTGGATGTGGGTGGGAGGCAATGGGATTGGGTGCGGGTGCGGAGCTGTTGGCTAAGGGCGAAGGGAGACGGGGCAGGGATCCAGAGGAGAACCTCTTCTGGTTTCGACTCCCAAACAGTTGTGGAGTCCTGGTTCCTTCAAATTTTCGGTCTGACGTCCCTCGGATTCAACGTGGTAACTGCGAGCGGCCGAATTTAGCCTCGATTTCAACACAACGGTTTTTTTGGATAAGAGTCAACCTCGTCCACTTCGTGGTTAGCTTGCCTCATGCATCCCATACAGAAAACAATTAAGAGTCAGGGACTTATACGCCCGAAACGACAAAACTTTCTACAGTCATCAGTTGAGACACATAGCGAATCAAGTCGGTGCAAAAAATCCGTCCCTGGCACGCGCACTATTTTCATGATATATTAGAAGATACCCGATGAATACGAGGCGCTGAGGGAAAAACAACAGGATTTCCAAAGACAACCTCCTAAAGTGACCGCATTTTTAACATAAATTTTTGACACTCATCAGGAACTCAACGCCAAAATCAGTGCTTTTCGTAATCTGTTACTATTTCCCTAGGACTAAATAGCCCTTTCGCGTATTCTGTTACTCCTTTCCTAGACCCAGAATGCTCTTACCACTGCTGATTGTGGCTCTCACCCTTGACGACTTATTATGCTTTTTTAGCGGAACGTCTTTAAAATAAACTGACATGATGATACCAGTAAAAAAACACGATTGGATGGGTTTGCCGGACGCTTCGAGTGACTGCTTTAATTATTGCTAATATCAGGAAACGGTCAGAAAACAAGAGAAAAATTGCGGAATTAAACAAACAGCACGCATAACAATTTTCACATTTCGATAACTTATTAAAAACAAACAAATTCATTGCAAAACAAGGACACCACTCTTTCATCTTGCGGATAAATTTTATCGTCCGTTAAATTTATCTAGAAATCCCAATTGATTCCTAAAGCCTGAACAGTTGTCGGGTAGCCACCGGGAACAAACCCACCAGGAACTGCCTGGAAAGCAAGCTCTAACACCGTAGTACCCTATCGGCACAAAAAGCAATTTCATTTTCGACAAAAAAAAATGGATTTTCGACTGACCGGCCCTCACATAAGTGGACTTTAGACGCACAGATCTTAACTGACCGAGAGGAACCGGATAACTTTCTTCAGATCCCGCTTTCCTCCCTCCTGCCTTATCCGTCCGAGTGTTCAATCTATAGCTCTATTAAAAGCCCTCGGCTATTATCTCTGGTTAGTTGCTAGGAGAACGGAAAATGAAGCAAAATCGCTACCCCAGTTTCGCAGGAAAAATCCGTGCACTGTCTTTGTAACTCACTGCTTCTCCTTTTTCACTAAAATGTTTTAAAATTAAGTAAAAGACATGAAGTGACAAGTAGAAAATAATTCTCAGGAGAAACGAACAAACAAAAAAAAAAAAAAAAACGAAATGGAAGAATTCTGGAAGACAAATTATTAATATCAAACAACTGCTGGCTGCATAGGATTGCTTGGCCAAGAAATTATGACAAAAAATTCAGGAATTACATGTCGTTTTATGCCGGGCGGCGCACAAATTTAGTTTTTCTTGCATTTCCATTCCACTGCTGCAGCAAGAAACAACGATGCACAAACGATGCAAGACATCAAGACAAAGAACATAATATAAACGGATAATTACTGAAATGTTTCACTACTAAAATGGAGAAGACCCGAAAAACAATTAAGCATTTTTTTTTATGCTATCGCATAAAAGAGCAGCATAATGAAAACTCACAGATACAGTTCTTGTGTGTACAAAAATCGGCACGAAATGAGAGGATGGACTGTTTGACACGGTAAAAATGGCAGTTTGTTGGATTGAAAAGCTCTGAAAATTCATCTAGAATAATGGATGAGCACTGACAAAACAGACTTCGCGTCTATTTTGATAATTTCTACAGGACGATTCTGAATGAGGAAAAAAAAAAGCGTCTTGGGCAGTTTTTGACGTAGTGATGGAGATGTTTCAACAGGTGATGGGTACCATGCTCAGGATGGAGAAGTCGAGTACACCTGCGTCGGTGTGTGAGCGGAACTTTAACTTCAGACCAATGATTCAAACAATTCGGAATGCATCACCCTGGCTCCACTGCTTCGGCACATGTGCAAAAGAGATTCCCCGTACATTCTTGTATCACCATAAGTAGTACCATCGAGTTAAGCGAAGGATGCAGGCAGTGGTCACAGAACTGAGGAGAGTTTTCATAAATCCTCTATACGGCGCCTACTAACAGTTCTTCTCACGTTACTTACTATTACTACTATTACTGCTACTACTACTACTACCACTTTCGCACGCTTGATCCAAACTTCTATTCGGTAAAGTTTAGATTTTCCTGAAATTTCCCACCATTTTTTGCTTCCATATGCATTTGGACAAAAAGCCTGTGAATAGACGCAAAAAAAACTGCTAAAAAATAGAGCATTTTCAACGTTCTTCGTATAAGTCTCTCTCCTTGAGAAAAAAGGAGAGTTGGGCTCAAAAAAATTAACCCCAAAAACTGTCACTCACATGAATGTTCAGAAATCATCCCACAGAGTCATCAGAAATCATCAGACATTTAAATAGAAAACGAGAGAAAAGCTCGAAAAAATCAGCAGTTAAGAAAAACAAATTCATATCTGTTGTGAACATCAGGAACAGAAAAAAGCTGCTTAGAAGATAACAGAAGGGATCGCGGCGATTTGGATAAATCCCAGTGAACTTGGTATGCTGCCTCACAATTAAAGATATACAAGAGACAAGATAAATTTAAAGCAAACTCTCTCTCGAAAAAAAATAGCGGAAACCAAGAAATATAAGTAAAATCAAAATGTCTTGAAACGACACAACTAGTAATTACAGAATTCACTGGCTCGAGTGTGTAAGTGCACGCCAAGCCGTGTCTAACTCATTATGCGGCATTAGCATCTAATTCAATTTAGCTTTTAAAAAACAGCATCCCCCGAAAGGACTAACTTTCCATGATGTTCAACTTTTGCAATGAAAAAAGAAGAGTATACGGCCATCCAGAACTAACACTGAATCGTTATGTTCGGGAGACCCTTCGCTACATTTCTGGGAATCATACTATAGCGGATTACTTTCCCTATGTCAGGTGAAAATGTATGATTTTTTTGCAGCAGCAAGTTTTAAAAGTAAAAAAAAGACAGTACACAATGTAGGATTTTTTTGGAAGATATTCATCAGCAGCAGAAGAATTAGTCGACAAAACTTCAAAACATAAAACAATAACCAGGTCCGAGCAGCAAGTACTGGATACCAGTGGGCTGATAAACAAAGCAACAGAAATCACTCAAAAAAATTCTTTTTTTGACCGAAATTCAGAAAAGTTCATACTCAGAAATCAGACCAGTGTCGCCCATAAAAATAAAAATTACGTCTGTGATCCCAAAAAAATTCATCGAAAAAAAAATTTTCTTCACCGACTTTCAAACTTGAGGTTTTAATAAAGAACGGCGCCTACCAGGGGTAAGCTGGTACGATTATGTTTTTTACGCAATTCTGTCCAGTGGATTTTCGCTCTTAAGAATGTCCACTGCTCTAGAGTTTAGTGTGTGGGAAAATAGTCGAGAAGCTGCCTAATAGTCGAGATACTGCCTGAGTCACAATATTTCCTGCTAAAAATCTCACGTGCCCGTACGTGGAAAGCAGGTGTTCGTGTGGATGGATTTTAAATTCTTAGAGCCGCAATTGAACAGGAGGCACCCTCCGACAGATTCAGCTTTCTGTTTTATCTAATTCCCGAAGAATAAGAAAATTCCCCACGTAAAGTTTCACGTATCCGTGGCTGAGACATAAAAGAACAAGCAGAGTGAATTTAAAATTCTATATTTACATACTAAGAGGAAGCACCGACCTAAATTTTCAGTTTCCCATTCTATCGATCCCGAAGCATAAATTTTCTGCATAAATCTTTACTCACCTATAAGTGAAGCCCAGATGTACTTGAAAGCTGAATTTAAATTTGCATAGTTGCATACAGGCAGAAAACATCCCCCTTATATTTCAGCATCCTAACTTTTCCGAATTAGTGATTTTCCCACTTCATCTGTTTGTGTTTGAAATTTAAACGTAGTTGGAAAATGAATTTGAAATTTTCGGGATGCACTCTGACACCGAACGTCTTTCAAAAAGCTCAGATTCCTAGCTTTTCTGGTCTCCGAGTTAGTGATTTCCCCGTCGAAGCTTTCCGTACGCGTGAGATCTAGGCAGACGTAGAAACTGGATTTAAATTTGCGGGGTCGTGCATGTGCACGGACATTATTCAAAAAATTTCAGCTTTATCCCTGCTTATTCTTATCACGTGTAGGGTTGGTGCGACCCTTGCCGGTGGGTACCCTTCGCTGAATGGGCCGCTGTTCCTGGCCCTGGTAACAACCCCCTTCAATTCCCTCACAGTGCCTTTGAGGCCCGTACTGCCTTTTACTCTTCTGGTTCCTGAGTTGAAAACCCCCGGACGAAAAGTACCATGAACGCGCATAAACACATATGTTTGCATGGGCAGGTTTTCGACAATATGCGTTTTGTGGAACTATTGCAAACAAAATGCACAAAAAATACAATGCACTGTTGCTGAACAAAGTTAGCTGGCAGTTTTTTTTGTGATTTAAAGCACTGTACAGCATCCCTGATTCTGTTTGGTACGTGCATTCTGGACATAATTCATTTCACGTACGATTTCTGCGAAAACTGTATTTACGTTGTGAGCATTCTTTGCCGAACATTCCGTAAATGGACAGGACCAATATTCCGCTAATCCAAGACCATCTTCAGTTCGGACCTAAGACAGCACAAAACTGTAGATTACTCTTTTTGAAATCGTCAACTTTTTTAATACATATGCAAAGACTGCACCTCCATTACATCTAAAGGATAAAGACAGTTTGCACCATAAAATATCACCTTACACATGACGCCTGCGTACAATCCTGTTGGTCTATTATTACAAAAAAAAAAAAAACTTTGCTTAAAATAGGCTGCTGAAAGTCGCATTCTATAGTGAAAGGCAACATTATGGGACGACTAATTATGATAAAAAAAAAACATTCTAAAAAAATAAATAAATAAAAGCAAAACCTTAAAAAGCAATGCTTAGCTATAAAATTTTAACATACAATCGCATTATTTCAACTGTGTTGCCCTATTCTACGCCTATTTCAGCTGTATGTTCACTTCAAGGCAAACTTCCACGCCAGTAATCGAACTAAGAAACTTTCTACGATTAATTTGACCAACGCTGTATCAACTGAGATAGTCCTGAAGTCTGCTGGTAATCTTCGAGTTCGTCTTCCTTCTTCCCTTCTTTGTGCTAGCGAACAAAAAACAACATGTGTTAATTCTCGCTCTTTCTGCTACTTACGTGGTCCTTCACTTCATCTACTGGCCTATTTAAATTGTAGATATTTATAAATTTTCACCTGCCGCTGATGAATTAAGTCGCATTTGTTGCCAACCAATAATATGGGCACTTGATCTGTACCCTGCAAAATTATCATTTCTGAAAAGAAATACTCGAATCTCAAGTCCAAAATTCTCATCATTCTTAATCCACACATCACTGTCAGAGGCTGATGTTCCCCCTTCTTTCCTTTCGTCTTTATCTTTTCCTTCTCCATTAATCACTGCGACCGTCATACTGACGAGATCCTGTCGCGCGGCGTTGAATTAAGACATATATGACTTAATGGACCGAAACGTCTTATCTCATTCTTATCTTCTTCCCTTGTATTGTAATCTATCGCGCTTTCGCCACTTAGGTTTCCAGAGTCAATATGGTTGCAACAATCGGCTTATCCCGTTCGAAGCAAGCAATCACTGTACACAAGAATAGACTTATCGACAACACACACAAGAAACTGTAAATAAAAGAGTGGATGTGCTAAAGTTCGAGAAAGCCCATTTGGCAAGCTAACAATTCAGACCACAACAGTTTGCAATCAGCCTAGCAGATGATGATACCCAAATACGTGACTTACCTTAACCCTGACAATTTGTTCACGCATCGTTTTGATGTCGTGGAATGTTTGCTGACTCGTAATTGAGTAAACAACCACAAAACCTTGTCCATTTTTGATATATAAATCGCGCATGGATGCGAACTGTTCCGTGCCAGCTGTGTCCAAAATTTCCAGTACGCATGGCTGCCCGTCAACCTGCAAAATACACCCCACCCATTCTAATTTCGGAAACCTTTTTTTTAAAAAAAAAGAAGCTTCCCAAATCCTGGCTTCAAAAGTTTGCCTGGTCAGCTGTTACTGCATCGTAGCGCACCAACATGTCACCAGTGCAGCCCTTGTACCTTCCACGGTCTACGACCAAAGCTGTATCACATAGTACCGACCAAGACATACATATAAAAGTCGGACCGGAAGGACTGCGTTCATAAGCGGAACCAGAACGGCCTCCTGAGCGATGGGAGGGGGGGGGACACCGAGGGTGCGGAAGAGAGTTTTCTACAGTTCTAGCTTTAGACCCTGGCTTTTCTAGCACTGATAAATGTGCCGCTGGAGG